GTAATTTTAAGATCTAAAATGACTGAGAATCAAAGATGAAATGAATAAAAGAGATGCAGTTCTTATTAAAGATTAGGTTCATTTTTTTTCCCCCAGAAATTAATATATAAGAATCAACTCATGTAAAGTGAAGCAGTTCAACAAGTTAGATATATTAGATGTTACAACATTAAATATGGTTTCGAGCATTCATTAAGAGTCCTGACCTGGTCAAAGCACAAATGACTCAACTATTACTATTAAAACACACAAACCACCCAATCACACTTGATGACACTCTTTAACATCATCATCAATCTAAAAGCAGAAAGATCTTACCTGATGTGAGCTGAAAAGCAGTGATCTTCACCTAAAACAATTGACTGTCTAAGTGAATATTTGAGTTTTATCGCTCCATCATCCTGAGAGAATTTGATTTTACACTCACGGTTTCCTTCTTTAATTCAAATTCAAATTCAAATGTACATAGTAAACACTTTCCACAGAATCCCTTTGTCTTGTGGAACATGCAAAACTGTTTTCAAAATGCTAAATGAGTTCAGGTAATCAATTCATGCTAAACAACATGAAACTGTTCATTTATACAAAAAATGTGTAAAAATGTCTGACTTCATATTTGAGCACACAGTAGATCAGGAAGATGAAGGTTCCCTGCTGAGAGTTCAAGATAAGGAAGAGGATCTGCACAGCCTTACTGCCATTACTAAAGAAACCCAGAATCCAGAAGCCAAAAACTGATCGAGTGTTTTAAACACTATAACCTTTGGTAAACGAGAACGAGACATTGTGTATGATCCTGATGAAGAGAATCATGTTCAGCTGTAGAAAGATGAAGAAATGATCAGTTTAGAGTTTTGTTGATTTTAACAGGCCATGAGAAAAAAATGTCTGTAACTAAAACTTACTGCTAGTATGACACAAACCAGACCCAGAAAACTCCAGATAAACCCTTCATCTGTTTCAATCCAGCATCTGATTAGAGGAAAGCACAGTATAATAATAATAATTAATACATTCATCATAAACAATTTGACTGTTACATATCATAATCTTGTGTGTGACGTTGTTACGGCCTGCAAACAAATGTATTTTTATCAGACAGTAGAAAACAGCCGCAGGCTTTTAATCAAATGAACGAATAAACAATACCACTCACTGTTCACTGCTGTAACCGTCTGGAGCCACACCTATATGCCATAGCAAACAGCGTCTTCCAGTAGGATGCTTAGAACTTAAAAGATTACAGCATTTACAACCGGCAAATCTTGATGTAAAAATGGATGTCAATAACGTTTTGAGTGGCTTACGGAGTGTTATTTTGTGATGCACAACTCTGAAAGGTGTGTGTTAAAGCCGTTATGCCTCTGTCAGATGCGAGAGTCTGCTGTCAGATATGAAATATAGCGTTAGTGTTCCTCACCTGTGAGCTGTTATACTGTGCTCAGTGTCCTCTTTAATGTACACACACATACTGTACACATCAAACACACAATACATCACTGTATTATGAAGCAAACTATATTACTGGCATGAAACTTAACAGGTATGTAAGACATGCAATTTCCAAAAAAATAAAAGCCTGTGACAGATACTCTGCTGGCTGATTTGCATGTTGATTCTAATCGGAAGCCGTTTATGTTTCATTTAGTGTTTTGTGTTGTGTAGTATTTACCATGGTATGTGCTTTTCTGTCATTTCAAAACGCCACTTTATTTTCCCTTTGTGCCACTCTTTTAGTCAATGTGTCAGTGGGACAGTATAATAGCATATTTATTAACACAAAAATGTAAGATGACTGTAACTAACAAAAAAAAATATTAATATAAACATTATTGTTAAATGCCTTTAGGCCAGCATTACATTTGTTCTCTCAGTGGTGGTATAATAAGCATAAATAATTATTTCTTCTTTATCTTCAGCTTGAAAATGTAGGTTCAATTTAGAATACTCTTAATCTAATTGTTCTGGTTTAAGCTGCATTTCTGCCAGTGCTGTCTGCAAAATTGTATTATTAAAGAGCTCCTATTATGGGTTTTTGAGAATGACCTTCCATGTAGCGTGTAACACAGCTTCAAATGAGGTAAAACATCCAGCTAAGGCTTAAAGTGGACAGTGTTTAAAACTATTGATTCATTTATAAAAGAGTCGACTCCTAGTACTTCAAATGAATCATCTTGATAATGAGTCTTTAGCCGTTTCGGCGTGACGTGGATACAAAACTTAAGCCCCGCCCAGTTAGTGTGCACAGCCCCGCCCACTAGCACAGTAGCAAAGAAAAAGAGGCTAGACACACACTGAGGCAGACGCTGGTTGAATCAACTCACGCTGTGCTCAGCTGGATATTATTGGAAGTGTGAGGGGAAGGTAAGTGTTATTTTCTCTACCCAAAGATGAAACTGTGAAGAGAGAGTGGTTGAGGTTTATTTTAAAAAAAATACCTGTGTTATAGCCCAGCCTGTGCTGCTGTTAGAGTGCTTCTGGAATCTACACGCTTACAACTGGTCATTCGTCAGCTGTTTGTTAAAGAAAGGATCAGAAAAGACTATTGATATAAGGGACTTTGTCAGTACATGGAATAGTGGATCATGGATCAGTTTTTACCTCCATTTCACAAGTGTAAATAAGTGCGATTAAAATGGCTGCCTCCTTGTTTTTTCTAGCTTGCAAGTTCTGTATTTAATTGTGTTTTGTTAATTGTAACCGCTTGTACTGTATCAGGTTAACTCTTTATATTCTAATATCGCGTCTAATGTCCCGTTGAAAACACGACGTATGCCACATTGTTTACAGTTTTAAATGTGTTTGTGAGCTCGTGTTTCCCTGCCATTTGACATTGCTATGGCGGCTGTCAGCTGATCTTGCACATGTGCAGCGGTCAAGTTTCAAAATAGTTCAGCTTTTGCCACTATGTGGATTAATACTGATTGTGTGTCATGGTTAGGAATAGAGCATGGTTTTTCAAAGTCTAAGACAGTGGGCCTTCCTTTTGACACAACTTATCCATTGGCGCCCCCCTCCTCCCAAACACGCACGCACACACAAGACACAGCCAGATGTCAGACTGTTAACTCACTTTTATCATCATTTGCATGAAAGTGCAATTATTTACAGAGTAATAACAAGTATTTTAATATAACGTTTTTAAAACTAGGATGATGGTTCAATATGAATAGAACAGATAGATCCAAGAACTGTCCATCCCAGTCAAAACAGTCGAAGTTTAGCGGATCTCATGCTCTCATTAGCCAAAATATCTTGACAAACCACACTTAAAGGTCGTGGTTCATCAGCTGGTCCTGTCCACGTAAATCCTAAACTCAAATACTGATCATCATATCGTCATCTTTTGGGTTTAAGCCCTGAACTTGAAGGCTTTGAATCGGGGGGTCTCAGAAACCGATCCATTGTATTAGCAGGCATATACCTGTATTGGCGGGCTTGCCAAACAGAAGCGAATTCACAGCTATGGCCTTCTGGGTAAAAAAGGTTTTCTTATTTTTGACGTCAATTTTTTTTAGCTTTGTGTAATTAAAAAGTTTAAATATAATAAAAATACATATAATAATTAAACTTAATAATTATATTTTTATTATATAATATTTTTTCCTGCGCCTCCCCTGACATGCTCTGGCGCCCCCCAGGGGAGGCGCGCCTCACACTTTGAAAACCCCTGGAATAGAGCAATATGCTGGTGTTCAACTGCACACACATACCTGCCAACATCTGTCCCTGAAAATCCAGGACACCAGGGGGTTAGGTTCAGGGTGAGGTGTCTGAATAACACTCAGGGCCGAAGTAAGCCAAACTGGAGCTCTAGGTGAACGGCGATCACTGATCATGAAATTACGGAATTTTTCCAGAATAAATAACAAAATGGGAGGGTGGCTGGAGATGGGTCTGAAATACGGGAGACTCCCGGGTAAAACAGGAGTGTTGGCAGGTATGCTCACACATACACTCTGCACTCTGACTACTTCAATATTGTTGATAAGCCATTTCACTCTCTCGCGCTAAACAATGTCAGTGTCGACCAATTGCAACAGGCTGTCATCGGTCCAATCGGCACAGATTAGCTTCGCGCTCAGGAGGGCTTTGGGAACAAATGAATCACTGGATGATTTATATGGGAGTCCCTGGGATAATTAGGTAAAATAGATGCATATTATAAGACAATGAAAGTGTTTTTTGACCTTACAGGAATATTAGACTGTTGTTGGAGACCTTTAAAACCAAAACATAACCCTATTTGATGTATATCACGGGCTCTTTAAACTAATGGATTTGTGTATGCAGAAAAGAACTGAAAGGTTTTAATCCATTATGCCGTTCCTTCAGGAAAGCACCTATAATTGTTTTGGGCTTAGTCGTGATACCAAATACAAAAATGTATGTTAGGCAAAAAAACAGCTGGTGAATTAAAGACAGTCATGAAATGACCTCCACAGAGTCCAGACCTGAATATTACACAGGCAGTATGAGTTTCATCTGTATAAATAGAGAAATGCATGATAGCCTACATCTACAGTAAATAGCATTATCAATACATTAAAGCAACTTGTTAGGTGTGTGTAAATGAACAATCAAAAGTGGGCAAAAGTATTTAATGAGGATTACAGTTATGTACAGACAGGTGCATAATGATCTTCCTCCACTTCCCACACAGGCTGACAGAGTCCAGTACATTAGAGTTAATGCAGTTGGCAAGGTAGACAAAGGCACACATAGTCTAGTGCAATAGAGTAATGCAAGTTTTATTGTTTTGACTTCATGTTGTCCTGCTTTGTTGGGGGGGTAATGTGTGTTGTGTTTGCAGTAGCAATGTGTTATATTCATAGGAAACATGTTTGTGAATGTACTGACAGTTGCAAGTCTTGGTACCTGCTCTGCACTAAAAATCAAATCATCAGCAGCATCGCAGATCTATATTACTGGTATGACATCACATGTATAATAATGGCATTTCAGCAGTACAAATATTACTCAGTCATGATGCAGTCCTCAGTGTTGTTTGAATCCGGAGCAGAGAGACAAGAAGCACTTCCAGTACTGCTGCCTGATCTGGACAAGAAAGAGATGAGAAGAGCTGAGTAGGCTCAGGAGATCAGTGTAAACACTGAAATAATGAACAATTCTTATGAGCTAGTCTATAATAAAAATGCAAGATACTCAATCAATAACAGAGCTTCTATTTCCAAATGAAGGTGTTTTTCTTCCCATATATTGTGTCTGGACAACATGAAATGGTAATTAATTATAGAGTAAGGTGTAAAAATGTCTGACCTCATTATTGAGCAGACAGTAGATCAGGAAGATGAAGGTTCCCTGCTGAGAGTTCAAGATCAGGAAGACGATCTCCAGCACCTCACTGCTATTAGTGAAGAACCCCAGAATCCAAGGACAACCAAGAACCACAAACTGACCCAGTGTTTTAAACACCATAACCCTGTGGTAAATGAGAGAAAGAACAAGATATTGTGTGTAGTTTAATTCATATGTGTTTTTTGTTAAAAATGAATCACATTCATTACTTGGTTTGTTTCAACTGTGAAATTTCAGCGTTCAGTTTTGTGAGAGCTGAGTTGAGACCGATGCTGATCCTGATGAAGAAAATCATGTTCAGCTGTAGAAAGATAAATGATATTTTAAATTTTAATTCAACAACCCCCTTGCAATTTTCTGTACCAAGAACTTACTGCTATTATGACACAAACAGGACCCAGCAAACTCCAGTTAAACCCTTTATCATATTTAATCCAGCAACTGATGAGAAGAAAACAAAATATTACAGATTCTAATATTGTCAGTAATGTTATTACAGCTCGTTTACAAATAGATTTTTGTTAAAAAGCAGAAAACAGCTCTGAGCTTATGATCAAATATACGAATGAACAACACAACTCACTGTTCACTGCCGTATCCTTCTGGAACCAGCAAAATAGACACGCCCACCACAACCAGAGCAACCACATATCCAATCACACACAAGAATCCACTGCTAAGCACCTCCTTCTTTTTGGAGCTGATCTGTGATAGGTTCTTGACGCAGATGAAGAGCAGCACAGCTTCAATGAACATCCACACAAAGGCGGAGAGGAAGAGGAAGTGCAGAACGCCTGCTATCACCACACACAACACCTGGAGAGCATGAGAGAGGGTTATGATGATTCTCAGTGCGGCTGTGCTGAGCTGTAGAGCTCCTTCATCATTCTCACCTGCTGAGGGCGAATGAGGCTCAGGAACTGTTGCGTGAGCAGCAACAGAAGGTGAGCCGACAGCAGACTGATGCAGATGTTGATTCGAGCCACATTATTGACTCCAGGACTCCACTGACAAAGAGCAAAGGACAACAGAGCCAAACCGAAGAACACCAGACCCACGATCACACACACCAGACCCAGCAGCTCCAGCAGATCGCTCTGAGAAAACATGCAGAGAACATGAGTGCCAGATCTGTGCTGCTCTTCAATGCTCTCTAGAAATGTTCTGGTACCGGTGGTGGACTGCTGCTGGTCTGCATGATGAGAGCGAATGTGGACAGATGAACACAGGAACACACAGTGTGGCTGCTGTTGCTGTTTAACACAGAACAACCATCTACAATCCACTCGCTGATATTCCAGTACACACAGGACAGAGAACCGTTGGGGTCAAACTCCTGCAAGAAGAAGAAGAAACAAGCAGAAAATATGAGCAGAGTGAATATTAGATGTGTTCAGATGTTGATCAGTGCTGATGTTGGACTAAAACACATTTCAGTCTCTCACTCTGATGTGTCTGAAGGTGAAGTTGACTGGTTTGGTGAGTGCAGTGTTGCTGGTTTTGGGAAGAGTAGCTGAGATCACAGTGGACATCATGGTTTTAATGGTGTTTTTTGGTGTGTTGAAGAAGTCGGCCTTCAGTAGATTCTCCATTGTGGTGTAGCTCATGAACGCCACAGCAGCAGATCCTGTGGGACAGAAACAGATGCTTACACGTACGTAAAACTATGGTAAAATCACAAATGTCAAGAATAAATGTGGTTCAGTGGCAGTGATATGATAATACATTAAGAAAACATACACCGAACATTTAACTCACTGTCATTGTTGTTCTTGGCGATGCCAATGAGATCGATGTCCATAGAACAACTTCTTGTTTTAAGTTGAGGGATTTTATCTAAGGTCACCTGGGGTCCAACCATGAAGATTTGTCCCTCTGATTAAAAACAAACATGCTGTTATGTGCTATAATTTATTTAATTTTTTTAACCAACACTGCTTACTTCTGGAGGACAATCCTTACTCTGCTTCATACAAGTGACTGGGCTTGACAAGCTACCTGTGGCAGACACTCTTTTCCTCTTCATATGCACCAGACATCTTTTTATAAGCACGCCATACTTATTGGAAATCATTGTGCATTTTTAAGTGTGCTCCACAGAGGTGAAGACACATGCTCTACAATCCATCCTTGAATGACCACAGAGCGAAAGAGCTACAACAATTCCTGGGCTTTGCTAATTTCTACAAATGCTTCATCCAGTTTCAGTATCATTACCTCTCCACTTACCCCACTCCTGAAAGGACATTTAAAGAATTTCATTTGGAAACCAGCTGCCCACTAAGCATTCGAGCTACTTAAAGAAAAGCATAGACCTACTGCTACACCATTCAGACCTTCTGTTCCCTTGAAAGCAGTCCAGGGATCCTCCATGCTTCCACCCTTGTATAAACTTCACCAAGAAACTATCTCCAACTGAGCAAAACTAGGAAATCTGCAATGTAGAACTCCTGGCCATCAACACCTGGTTCACCTTGGAAGAGTGGCGAGACTGGCTGGAGGGGACTTCTCGTTGCCTTACAGTCATTTCTGAACATAAATACTTGCATGAGGTGAAACATCTTAACTCTCATATGAGCCGTCTTCTTCACATGCTTTAAATACTTCATAACTTACTGATTCGCAGCCATATCAACCTGCAGCCCAAGGCCAGTTACTCACTAAAGCTAAGCAGGGCTGAGCCTGGTCAGTACCTGGATGGGAGACCACTAGGGAACACTAGGTTGCTGTTGGAAGTGGTGTTAGTGAGGCCAGCAGAGGGCGCTCAACCTGTGGTCTGTGTGAGTCGTAATGCCCCAGTAAAGGGGACACTACACTGTCAGTGGGCGCCGTCTTTCGGATGAGACATTAAACTGAGGTCTTGACTTTCTGTGGTCATTAAAAATCCCATGGCACTTCTCGTATAGGGTAGGGATGTAAGACTGGGGCGGGGGGCACTTTTGATCATTTTGGAAGGGCACTTTCTATCCAAGACTAAAAAGGGCATGTGCACTGCACAGGTTGAGCCCTATGTGTGCCATGCCTGGGCGGCAGGCAAACACAGGATGAGTAAGCAATTGCTGACCGTAGGCTTAGTGTGTCCTTGCCTTTAGATGGAGTGTTTATTCACTCTCTCACCTTCATTCCTGCCTGTACTGAGAATTGAACCAGCAACCTTTGGAAGTCCAAGTGCCTAATCATTCAGCCTTAACTGCCATTTAATTGTATATTATGCTTTCTGAATCAAACATAACATATGACAGAATAAATGGAATATTGCCAATTTCCACTGTGTATTCACTAAAGTTGCGTGAGTCAAAGAGGAGCAGGTCTGAGGTTCATTATCAATAATAACAGTGTCTCCACTTACCTACAGCCTCAAGAGTGAAACTGACATTGGCACTTGAGTTTGTCGGCTTCACCAATGTAGAAATGAGTTTCTCGCTGCTTTTTAACACTTTATCTCCATATGAGGCTAGTTCAGCTGAGTTTACTGCTGATGAAGATACTGAAATCTTATCTGATATGTTCAAGGCCTTGGTCAAAATGTTGGTTACAATCTGATTTAATGATCAAAGAAAAACAGTTACTCTACATGGAAATGTAAAGACAGACAATAAGATAAAACTACTAATGTATTGTACAAATTTATAACATAGTTTTAATGAATTTATTATTTCACTCTCTTACATTCAGTGGAAGCTCTTGAGCTGTAATGTTCTCTATCTGCTCAAGAAGATTTTCTAGACATCCTCTAGAGCTCTGAAAATACAAATGGGCTTTATACAGTAGAGCTGCACTATAGATCAAAAGGAAATTGCAAAGTAGATTCAACAAATGCTTGGATTGTCATGCAGTGAATCACGATTCTGTGATCAGAAGTAAATCTCCTCTAAATGCCAGAGGCACTCTTGTGTGGACACTTTAAATACATTGTGAAGAAGAAACCCAGAAGATTTCTATAGTAGCTGCTACATAGGTTTGTTGAATAAACAGAAGATTTACCTGCATTCATTATTTCAATGTGACTAATAAACATAAGACTCATTTAACGGATGGATTTATTTCAAACACTCAACTGAAGTTATGAACAATTTAAATGAGGTATTTTCACATGCTTTCAGATGCAGGATCAACACTAGAGCTGCAGTTAACTGAGAAGCTACACAAGCAGCAGCCTTTAGCTATTATTAAGAATGACTTGGGTTAAAGCTGCGGTCACACTAGAGTTTGTGCGTGTGAGATTCTGTCGTACGGCGCTGCGAAAAGGGGCAGGATTAAACCTAATCAGCTGCTCCAGAACGCAGCAGCACGAGTGGTCTTTAATTAACATAAAAGAGCACATGTTACTCCGCTACTCACCCGTTTGCACTGGCTGCCAGTTGCTGCTCGCATCAAATTCAAAGCTCTGATGTTTAGCTACAAAGCGATTTCTGGCTGCGCCCCTACTTATCTGCTCTCACTTCTGCAGATGTATGTGCCCTCCAGATACTTGCGTTTTGTGAATGAACGTCGCCTCGTGGTTCCATCCCAAAGAGGGAAGAAATCACTTTCCCGAACTCTCGCGCTCAATCTGCCCAGTTGGTGGAATGAACTCCCTAACTGCATCAGAACGGCAGAGTCACTTGCTGTCTTCAAAAAATGACTAAAATCTCAACTATTTACCCTTCCTAATCTGCAATTGCCTCTCTAGCTATACCACTAACTGTACTCAAAATAAAAAAACTTACATTATTAATGCTTTCTTTCTTAGACTTTACAGACCTGAAACTTGCCTACAGCACTTATTCATTGTTGCTCTTATAGTTGTGTAAATTGCTTCCTTTTCCTCATTTGTAAGTCACTTGGGATAAAAGCGTCGGCTAAATGACTAAATGAAAATGTAAACAAGATGATTAAACATTTAAAAAAGCAAGATGGTGATCCATGTTTTAATTTTTTGTCCAGAAAGGTATTGTCACACGATCTTGCGTTTCCAGTTTGACGCATTCATTTGCATGCGTATGAATGGAAGTCTATGGGGAGAAAAGTGCAGTGTGACCTCAGCCTAATTATCATGCGATCATCTGCGATTAAGAACGAGGTATTGTGTAGCTCGACAGTGAACAATGACATCGTGTTATAAACACTGCTCCATCTGAAAACAGGTGCTGGAGATTTACTATTAATTTCACAACAATCACCCTTATTGTTCAGCCCTATTGATCAGTTAACAAAATCAAATCACAAAAATCATGAGTAATGATCTCAAGTTTGGGTCCCACTTTATATTAAGTGGCCTTA